ATCCCCTACTTTTAAGGATGCAAAAATGATGGATGTTTGGTTGAATAGGAATTTCTTTCCATTTTACTTTTATTTACAGTCAAGAATAGGAGTTGAAGAAATTTAACAGAAGAGTAATTGAAGAGGAAAGAATTTCGTAATACTTAAACTTTATTTCCAGTCCTTATATTTTCAACCTTAAGTCTCTTGGGAGTTGTAAAGGGAGTCGAATGGTTTAAAATTTAAAAGAATTTAATGGAAGGAATTTGCATTAAAATTCCAAAAAGGAAAAAGAATTTGGTAATATTAAAAATTTGCATAAAAAGAATTTTTGCTCTTATTTCTAGCGGCTAAAGATAAATCTGTATAAAGTAAAAGAATTTTAGAGGGAAAATATTTTGAAATAAAAAAGGTAAATTTGAAATATTAAGTTTAGGTGTAAACGACGAGACGACGTGTAATTGATGTATATCTTTTAAATTTTTAATTTAATTGTTTATTTATTTTTTAAATATTTATTTTTCCATTCATTTACTTTTATTTTCCTATTACAGTATTTTTTTCGTTATTTTTGGGTAATTAATATATAGAGAGCTATTATTTAATTAATATATTTTAAATAGATTTTTAATTAATTTTTTATTTATTAATCCATTTTTTATAATATTTCTTTCTTTAATTGTCCTTTTTTGCATTTTTTCTTACTACGGTAGTCTTTTAGTTACACCCTCATTTAATACCCATTATTTTTTTAAAAGAAAAATTACGCAATCTTTTGGAATGAAAAGAATGTGTGGGAAATTTGCATAATTTGGGGGGATATCAAAATGTTTAGACGGGAAAAACACAAGAAAAACCCTATAGGTTTTGGTTATTGAGGTGGGTGGAGGAAGGAGAAAGAAGGAAAAGCTTCAAAAGCTTTTGGTTAGTGGGGTGGGTGAAGAAAGCAAAAAAGCTTCAATAGCTTTTGGTTTGTGGGGTGGGTGGGGTAAGGGAAGCTTCAATAGCTTTTATTGTGGAGGGATAACAAAAGAGAGAAGAAAAGCCTCAAAGGCTTTTGGTTAGTGGGGTGGGTGGGGGAAGGAAAAAGAGATGCCCTCACACCTTTTGATTGATTAACTGTTTAAATTTTTGACAGGCGACTTGGGGGTCGGTCTAACTACTTGGGGGTTTCTTATAATGAGGTTAGGCTGTATAATAGAGCTAGTCATACGTGAAATCTGCTAATACACCTCCACAATACCACGTAACTTTTATTCATACGTCAGATAAATTCGGTCCCAAGAGTGTCGTTTTAGTTAGATTCCACATTAATCTAATTATAAGTTATTTCCACAACATAATGTTAACTTAAAAAAATAAAAAACCAACAAAAAATATAAGGAAAATTTAAAATTAAATAGAAAGAACAACGCTAATGCACTCTTCTAATATTTTTTTGATAAAATACACACAATGGGTTGGCAATAATTTTAAGAAGAAAATTTAGATTAGAAAAAGAGTGTGAATCAAAAGAAAGTCAAAAAATTTTTATGGTCGCTAAACATTAAAAAAATAAGGAAAAACATTAAAAATAAAATGCATCATGGAAAGTTAAAGAAAAAATTTTTGGGAGAAGAAGGAAAGAGATTACTCAAAAATCAAGGGAGGAACGCTTTAATTCAAATAACCCCGTTTTGTCTGTAGAGTGTTCACGTGGAATAATCGGCTAATTTTTAAATGGAAAAAGTACACATTTGTATTTTTAAAAATATTTTTTTAATGTAAAAAATAAAAGTGAAATAAAAGTGTAAAAATGGGCAAAAATGAATTAAATAGATAAACTAATAAAAATGGATTTGTCTGCTTTAATATTAAATATCAGAGCAGAAAATCTATTTATTACTAATGCAAAACAAAATGTATGTAAAAACATTTGTTTAAATATGAAAATTATTTGGGGAAATTTTTAGGCGAACATGATTATTCTGCTAAAACATTGTTTGGGGAAAACACATAATTTCCGGAAATATACATATTTATATTTTGCTTCCGGAAAATTTATTTAAATGTTTTAACCCTGCTAAAACATTGTGCTGTAAAACATTGTTTTAAAACATTGTTCAAAAACATTGTTTGTTTGATTACGGAAACATGTTCGTGAATTATGTTTTATATATGTTTTTATGGAAAAATATTTATTTTGTTGTCGAACATTTATTTAAAAACATTTGTTCGGGAAAACATTGTTTGTTTGTTTGGTTGTATTAAAACATTGTTTTTCTCAGTTTTCTGAAACATTTCCGGATAACTATTATTTATGCATGTTTTTCCGGAAATATATATATTTCTATTTTGTTTCCGGAAAATTAATTTAAACATAATTACTTCTAAAAATACCTATATTTCTTTTCCGGAATTCTTATTTAGAGACAATTATGTATATTTCTTCTGTTTCAGGAAACATTTAAATATAATTCCGGAAATATATATACTTGTTTATATTACACCTCTTTTCCGGAAATGTTCCTTCAAAATACACTGCAACATAATTTTAAGATTGATTGGGCAAAAACATATAAATTTAGTTCAAATAAAAGGAGACGCGCACTTGAGTGCGAATTGAATATTTATAAAGAAAAATGTGTGTAAATTGTGAAAAGGTTGGAAAATATATTTAATTGCGTTAAAATTTCTTTGTTATAAGTGGAAAGTTGTTGTTGTTGTTATGGTTCGCGCACAAATTTAGAGAAAATTTTTAGTCACAATTTTGTGTTAAATAATTTTAGTTAATTTATTTTCTTTTTACAATTAGAAGAAAATAAATAGGCAGACTTTACTTGTAAATAAACTCTTAAGATTTTGGAGGGGTCTTTCAATGAATTTTTCAGCATGCTTAAATTAAAAAAATACAAAATTCTTTTAATTTTCTGCAATAAAAGTTGTTTACTTAAAATTTATGACATTACATTATAATCAAACCACCTTACTTAATTAAAGGTATCACGTGAATTTCTTTTGAATTTGTAAGATTTTTCCATCCTTTACATTAGAGCCCGGCCGGAGGGGTCGGGGGACATTTCTAGACAGCTATCGAAAAAAATATCGTACGAGCTTTATTCTACATATACATATTCTTTAATTTTTATTTTGAATTTTTTGAGTATTTTTTGGTGCATCTGAGATTCTTGTAGTGTTAATAATTTAATTTTCAAAGTATAAAATTTATGAACTTAAAAACTTAAGTTTTTAAGTTTATAGAATTAAAGTTAGGTAATTGCTCAAGTTTCAAGTTCAAACTTAATATTTTAAGTTTTTTTTTCACAGACTTGAAAACTCAAGTTTTTCGAACAAGTTTATTTTTACAGACTTGAAAATTCGATAATTCAAGTTTAAACTTAAAATTCCATAGGAAAATTGACGAGTGTTTATATTTTTAGACTTCAGGAAAACAATTCCGGAAGGTTTAAAAACAATTCAGGAAGACTATTATTACAATTGTAAAATCCTTCCGGAAAATGAAAACTAAGGAAAATTGTAAAACCCCAACTCGAAACTTACAAATTGTAAATTGCTAAGGGAACTCTAAAAACATGTTTTAAAACACAAAAATTTGGTTTAATAAATTAGCAACAATTACAACAAAAACATATTTACAAAAACATATTTACAATTATGAGAGAAATTATTATTATTATTTTGGCTTCTTTCCAAGTTTGAAGCCTTTCCCGCTGAAGCCACTCTTCTTGACATCATTGTCCTTTGGTTTAGGGCCGTTAGTGTTGTTGAGCTAAAAAATAAAACTTCAAAACGTCAAATCTCAAATGGTCAAATTCCAAAAATAACCCCAAAATCCCCCCCACCTTCTCCATTTCCTTGACCAATTTATGTGCCTTATATCCCTCCCTTCTCATAAATGTTAGTTGTCCAGGCTTGTAGTCCTCATCAATTTCAGGCTCCATTTTGTGTTCATCCTAAAAATAAAATTTGAAAATTACAAAAAAATTTTTTCTTTCTTACAAAAATAGCCGTTTCTGTAAGTAGCTTGTAGTCATCAAAATCCACCTTCAGATCACAATTTGTAATTTTAGCTGAGGTAGTTGGTTCAAGTGCTGTAACAAGAAAGCGAATCTCGTCCTTGTTGTACTAAAAAAATTTTTTTTTGAAAATTCAAGGGTTTTTCAAAACGCCCAAATGTTAAAATGTCAACTTTTCAAAATGGCCAACTATCAAAGTGTCATATTTCAGAATGCCCATTTTTTAAAATGTCAAATTTTTAAAACGTCCAATTTCCAAAACACCCGTACTAAAAGGCCCACATTTCAAAACGCCCAACCTTCAAAACGCCTAACTTCAAAATGTCAATTCTCAAAACCCCGGTTTCTATAAGGCCATTTTTCAAAAGGTCTAACCACCCAATTTTCAGAATTCAAAAAACATCCCCATACCTCAATAGCAATTTCATCCCCAACAGACAAGCACTGATATTTACTTAGCTGCACTTCAAGCACATGTCGAACCTCTTTGATATTTTCGTCGTTAATAATGGAGAGCACTCGCTTAGACAGAATCGGCTTGAATCTTGCAAAAGTTGCAGTTTTCAGCTCGGGTCTTACATATTGAATCCAGACAGGATAACCGTCAGCCAAATTCAATTGTCGCATCATCTTAAATGTAAAAAAACAAAATTTTGAATAAAAATAGGACATTTGACCAAATGACATTTGACTGAAAAGACATTTGACCGAAACAAAAATTAGTTTTGATTAAAAATTCAAGTCTCCTTACCCAAGGAGGCAAATAACATTGATCTTCGGGAGCTTCATAATCCAGCACACCACAGTACACTTTAGAAGGGTAAGGATCAATTCCTACTAGCGGTTGTTCCACAGGAGTAATTTTATATTGAACCACCTTCAGTTTGAACAGACCATAGAGAAACGGCAGAATGTGTGTGAAGGATGGAGGAAGTGAAATCTGTAGAAAAACGAAATTAATTCGAAATTTCGTCAAAAATTTCGAAACTCGAAATTTCGCAAAATCTACGAAACTCGAAATTTCGAAAAATCACGAAACTCGAAATCTCGAGTTCTCCCTGTTTTCCTTACCTTTCCACCATATACAGCATCCCGAATTGCAGAACGACTCAATTTTGGGTGTTTTTCCATGGAGTAACAACGCAAAAATGGAGGCACTTCCGGAAAAACCATAACCGCCTGTCTGGCCAATTCCTCATGTTCTTCTTCACTTTCTACGGCTAGTTCTGCTGTTGAGAATATTGAAGCATTATGAGCTTCTGCTGATCTTGAACGGCGATGAGAAGAATGGCGGTGAGAATGGCGATGAGGATGTGCCGAAGTTGATCGATGTCCATGTCTGGTACTGCTCGAAGTTGTTGCATTACTGAAAAGAAAAAATTTTGATTTTGCGGACAACTTTTGCGGATTTTTAGAACCTTGTTGAAGGCTTGTTGGTTGAAGGCGCCGGAATAGCTAACGCCACAGCTGTTGTTGTTGTAACCGCTGTTGTGCTTTCTGTGACCGCTGTTGCCGTTCCTGTGTTGTCGTTATTCGTATTATTCCCAGCTTGCCCCACCACATACTCAGACACTTCATACTCCCTCACAGCGTTGGGTTGAAAGCCGCCAATAACGTATTCTGCGAGCGCTGTTGGTTGAGGTTGAATGTAGGTTGAATTTGCCCGTTCTGTTGGTTGGGAATTGACCGAGACACATTCAAACGAAGGCGACAGCATTGTTGAACAGTCCGGATCGGAACTAGAAGCTGAAAAAATTAAAAGAATTTGGGAAGAAAATGAAAAAATTCCTTACCAGTTTCAACAGAGTACCACCAATTATAACACCGATCCCTCAGATGCTCAATAAAATCGAAGAGAACCAGCTTGGGAAAATAGTCGAGAAAACAGCACGCGAAATGAAGAGAACAAGAAAAGTTGTTGGAAGTATTCGGTTAGAAGTTTCCGGAAATTATGTGCTTTTATAGTATTCTGTTCTGATAAGAAGGAAACGTCGTTATTTTTTAATTATTCTCACAAATCTTGAATCATTCGAAAGCTGTTGATAAGATCTATCTTTTTTCCAACTGGACAGACCAAGTCTAATAACTTAGTAGAGTTATAACCCGAAAAGTGCAACTAGTCCCTTTGGGGTCGGGATTGCTTCGGGGATCGTGCCGAACCCCTAAGTAGAGCCTTCGGGGTTCGGGTCTGGGTTTTTGCCAAAAATTGTCGGGGTTCGGTTGTTTTTTCGTGGCTACTCTATTTTTAACATAGGAAATAAAATTAAACAAAATTTTATTTTTATCAAGTCTTATTAAGATTTAAACAAAAAAAGTGAAAAATGCAAGCAACGAAAAATAAAATTGAAAAATGGTAGACATTAATATCTGTTAAAGTAAAATTTAGAAATTATTTTTAGAAAATTTTTGTATAAAATATTCGTTTATTTAAGGTTCAGAGATATGATTTTGGTGTTTCTACTTTTTGTTTAGCTTCTTACGTAGTAGCTTCCAGTGAAGGAATGTGTTTGTCTTTCAAGTACCTTTCTTCTAAAAATTGAATTAATTAAAAAGATAGTTTTTCCACAGAGATAGAAATTCTGTGGAAAAAAGCCACAGATATTTCGATTTTCCACAAAAATTTTTGTCCGCGGGATCTGCGGCATTTTCCACAAAATATGAATCCGCGGGCACCACAGATTCTGTGCCATCAGAATTTCAGAGAAATAGAATTTCCACAGAATCTGTGTTCTGTGCACAGAATGCAGAATCTGTGTTGGAGAGAAATAGGCCCAGACCGGTTCGACATCCTAACAGTTCTAATACACCCACCTTCACAACGCTATGAAGTCCTTTAGCACCAGCATGAGAGCCTTTTCTAACATTTGGTTGTTGTTGAATTGTTCTGTTGCTTAAATCAGAGCTTTTCTTAATTAAGGATTTGGCCGGGATAGGGGCAGAGGGTTGTTGTTGTTGATTGGATATTTGGATTTTGTTTAGTGTTTTTGAGGAGGAAGCTATTCTTGGGAGATTTCCGTAAGTTTCTCTACCTCCCCCTCCAGTCCCAGACGTTCCTCCTGTCCCTCCTTGAAGTGGCTGTTGTTGTTGTTGTCCTCTACCCCCTCCTCCCTGTTCTTTTTTGTTCCCTATCGAAGTTTTAGCCATCATTTGATAATCAGAATTATTCAAATCAGAACAGAAGGCAACGCCTTTAGGTCTAGAATGAAGTACAGGTTCTGTTGTTTGTGGGGCTGGCTGTAGGAAATTGGAAGGGACTAGACCTCTAATTCCATTTAATTCGCCCAAGTAAAACCCGTCTTCATCCATTGGCTTTAAAAATGAGGGGAAAATTTAAGAAAAATAATTTTTTTTAAATTTACCCCAAAAATGGTAATCAAATCTCCCTGTCGAAAGCTTAATTCAACTTGTTCTGCATCAACTAAAAAAAGAGAAAATTGGCAAAAATAAAGCTAAGACAGTAAAAGAATGTAGGGGAGAGCGATATTTTTCAGCTCCAAGTAGAGTTCGAACCCGGGCCGGGCCTGGGAACGGGTTTTCCGGGCCCGGTAGACCGGAAACCGATTTTTATGGGTTTTCGAGATTTTAGCCCGGAAAACCCGGCTCGGGTCAGCGTTGTAGAAAAACCCGAGTACTGGGCCCGCAAAATTGAAAAGTTAAAACTCAAGTTCCAAAAGGTTTCTGGAACCAGAAGCATAGACAAAAAATTAGAACCGTCAGGAACCCCAGAACTGTTCAATCTTTTTAATAAAAATTTAACCATTAGGACTTAGATGCCTCGAATCATAGTCATATTTAGCTATCATTAATTGGCTCTGAATTCCTCTCAGTTGTTGATATTCTCCCCCTCCTTGTTGTTGTTCATCATAAGAAAACCCATCATCCTGTTGTTGTTCTTCCTCATCTAGCGAAGTTTTTTGTTGTTGATAGTATTTGGAGTTGTTGCTATATTGTTGTTGCTGATATTTTGAAATTTCTGCCATTTGTTCTTCTTCCTCTTTAGTAGACGATTCAGGAATCATTATCCTCTTTTTCTCCCTTCCTTGTCTAGTTCCTCCACCATTTACTTGAGGAGAACGATAACGGAGAGCGGCATTTTCCTTTTCTCTACCCACAACAACACCCCCACTAGTTGTTTTGACATCTCCAATGTTGGGCAGAGCTCTCTGTTCAATTGGAGCTCCAACCCCAACGGTCGCTCCACGATACTCGGGAAGTTGTCTTCCTCGTCTTGCTGTTCTCTCAATATAAGCATCGGGGTAATACAAAGGTTGAGAGCCCCGTCCTGGTTCATAATCTGCTTGAACGCCTCCATGGTAGTTCCCATAACGTCCTTGGCTTTCTGTGTGCTCGTAACTCCTTGACTTGATTGAACCTGTAGGGAACGATATTTTAGATTGGAAATACAGTAGACCTCACTATAGTGTATCTCCGCTATTGTGTAGGTAACTGGGGGTGATGGCTGCCTAATCGTTATACCCTCTATTTAAGGTATACTTCATTATTAGATACAATTTTTAGACCCTCAAAGTGGTATCTTATACATAGTGAGGTTCGATTGTAAAAAGAAATATTATCCTTACCCCATTTCATTCTACGCTGACTGGACGAGATCCCTCCCGCCCAAAGTTGTTGTTGACCACCCTCTGGCATAGAAGTCCCCGTATGTTGTTCAGCAGCCAGAAAAAGGTCGTCTTTAGCTATCTCAACTAATTTGTTGAAAGGTACAAAGCCATAACGACCTCTAGCTTCAGCCCAAAAGAAGCCGTTCATGTCCACATCCCCATAAACCTTAATAAGTTGGTGTCTTCTAAAAAGCAATTCTTCATTCATTCCCCCCATTCTAGGCTGATGATCCTGAATAGCTACAAACCAACGGCTATTTATTTCATCTCTTCTCAGGGGCCTTAAGTCTGGTTCACTTCTAGTACTTTCTGGGGGTTGATGATGTTGTTGTAAAAAATTTGTTTTTAACATTTTCTTGGCTATTTGTGAAGGAATTGAGGAAGGGAGAATGTTATTATTTGAAGCTCTGCTTTGTAAAAATGAACGGGAAGTTGAAGGGGCGGCAGAATGCAGCCTTTGGCGTTGTTGATGTTTTTGTAGATAATTTTGTTCCAAAAAGTATAGAGTACTGTTGGGTTGTTGGGTATTCCCGTTGTTTTGGTCATTTGTGGATGTTCCATTTCGGGGATTATAATAAGTCTGTAAATGAAATTTTAGATTGAAATAGGGAAGGAAACCTAAGGTAGTGCATAAGGAACATAGGGTAGTGCGTAGGGACAGTGTTCCTTAAGCATAGGTAGTTCCTACGCACTACATAGGATGTTGTTCGTAAGGAACACGGGGTGGTGCGTAAAGAACATAGGGTAGTTAGTAAGGAACTTAGGGGGTAAGGGTAGTGCGTAAGGAACATAGGATAGTATGGTTTCCAGTAAAAATGACGCTCAAATCCTATTTGCAGAAGGACCCAATTCCAAAAGTTTTACCTTATCCAAAGTTTTTGGATGAAATGTAAAATATTGTTGTTGTTGATAAGAGCTTTGTTGTTGTAGTAAAGGATCAGTAATATTTGTAAGTGGAGCAGGTTTTTCCTCCCATCTGTTAATATTGTTTTGTAAAGAGGCTGCTGAAGTATTTTGTTGGTAATGTTGTTGTTTTGATGGAATAATTAAAAGTCCTTTTGGAACTTTATTTGGTGAAGAATAATTTTTTTCAGAGGAAATGAGTCGATCTTAGAAGGAAAATTTTTCTTCTCAAACGGTCAGAACTCATTAAAAGATCCACTTGAAGTATCTTAGTTCTGGGGTCAAGTTCTAGTTGTCTTTCAAGGCTGTGCGCCAAAATTTTCGAATGGAACGCCAAAAATCGGCCAAAAATGGACGCCAAACAACCAGCCCTGTTATCTTGGGGTCAAGTCCTGGTCTTGAATCTTGTAAAATTTCCAGTCTTGAACAGTGGGGGAACTTTAACAGCTCTAAGGGTTACCTCATAGTGTTAAAACGAAGTCTAACATTTCAAAAAACCAACTGCTCCTATTATTTTACCTGAAGAGTAGTAAGGCAGTGAAGAATTATTTTGCATAATAACAACTCCTTCCCTCTCATTTGTCGTTCCATTTCCACTACGAGGTACTCGAACAACTTTAGAATCAGCAGAAACATTTCCTTCTTTAGTTTTAGTTCTGACAGTAATAAACATTGGGGGGTCATCAGCAAAATCAGAAAGCCTCAACAGAACATGATCTGCTGTTGACCCAGGGATTTCTGCAATACACCGACCGTCTGCATAGACTAAATAGCTTTGAACTGCTGCACGGGAGGGAGGCCTTGGCTTTAAATTTAAAGAAAATTTTTTTTATACTCCTTACATTCTCTCTTCTATACCTGTGAGGAATTTGGCTTCCAAGAGACAAGCAAAGTTCCAGGCTGGGGCCCATTTTCTGCTCTAACCTCTAAAGGAGGGTCTGGAAGGCCAACTAAAAATTTTTAAAATTTCAAATTTTTACAGAAAATTTTTTTTACTTTTAGGCAACGTTTTAAAGTCTACACATCTCTCTACAGGCCTTTTTTCTAAAACAGCGCGGGGATGTTTTGTTCTAACAGAGAGACGATAAATTGTTGAGGGTGTAAGGCCGTTTATTTGAACCTGTAAAACATTAAGAAATACTATTAATTTAATTAAAACAGACTTGAAAGACAGCAGGCGGACAAACGCCAATTTTTATTGCATTTAAGAGAATTATATGTTCTGTATTGCTGTTTGAAGGATACCAACTTAGTTGAGTTGATGTTGGGGTTAAATTGTTTACACTAGAAAAAAAGATTTAAACACAAGTTTTACAATTCTGTGTTTGTGTTTTATAATTTTTAAATGAACAAAACAAATCAGAAAATTAAAACATAAAATTACAAAACGTGAGAAAAAACCAGAAAAATCAGAAAACCAAAACATTATGGGAGGGAGAGATCAGAATAAAACAGGTTTTACAATCATCAGAATAACAAGTTGTAAAACATGTTTAATGATTCAAACATTTAGTTTTGTTAATCTCTTTGTGTTTTACAATTTTTAAACGAACACCAAAACAAAAACTCAAACAGCCAAAACATTGTTGGGAAGAAAAATCAGAATAAAAACAAGTTTGTAAAACATGTTTTACAATTTTTTACAATCAGAATAAATTTGTATTTTCTATGAACAAATCAAATGTTATAAAAAACACAATAATCAAAACATCAAAAACACAAAAACATTGTTTCAAAAACACAAAACATTGTTGCGAAAACACAAAAACATTGAAAACACACAACAATCAAAACATTAGAAAACACAAAAACATTGTTGGAATATTCTAACTTTACACATGTTTGTAAAATGTTTTTAAACTCCTACCGAACATGTTGTGGAGCAACGGGCGATTCTAAAAACAAAATACAAATGTTTTTTGAAAACACAAACATTTTAAAAACATACCAGAACCCACCGCCAACGTACAAGCAGCATCAGGGCTAGTTAACCCATCCGAAGTAACTGAGCGTACAGAAACATTAACAAATTTATCTAAATCCAAGTCTTCTAGCAAGGCACGGCACTTGAAAGAACCGGGCACAACTGCACATATTTGGTTATTTGAACAGACCTTTTTTTTAAAATAATTTTTTAAAAAATAAACAGAAAAATGCCTGATATTGGCTAATTGTTTGTTGATGTAGAGGAATTCCACCCCCACTTTCTGGCGGCAACCAAGAAATGAGCAAAGAACGGGAAAGACGTCTTTCTACTTGTAAATCATGTGGATAGGGAATTCTAGGATTGTCTGGATGTTTTAATTCTTGCACTGTAATTTTGCTAACGTCGGTAGGGGGATAAGGGCAAACCTAAAAATTAAAAAATAAGCCGAAAAGTTCAAGAAAAATAAAGGTTAGAGGGGTAAAGAGGAAAATGATGGTGTGCGCCAAAACGCTTGCTATAGGTATTCAAGTTTCACAATTTCAAGTTTTAGATTCCAAGTTTATTTTTAAGCTTTAAGTTTTGTTTTTACAAATTCAAGTTTTATTAGTCAAGTTTTACAATTCCAAGTTTATTTTTTAATATTCTAACATTTTTACAATCCAAGTTTTACAATTCAAGTTGTGTTTAAATAATTCCAAGTTTTACAATACCAAGTTTAATTTCAAGTTTATTTTTTCTCCTACTTTGTTTTTCACAAATTCAAGTTTTAATATTCAGGTTTTGTTTTTACAATTTCATATTTTACAATTCCAAGTTTTAATTTTAAGTTTTATTAATGTCTAACCGAATCAGGTTGCAACAAATGTTTTTGTTGTTTCTCTAATTCTGTAAAATCGTGTCTAATTTGCGCTAAATGTTGGGGAACAGACAACACAAAAGAGGGAGAGTCTACTCTATTAATAACAAGTGGAGATTGTTGTTTTAAATTAAAAATTTTATTATTTTGTGTAGCAGCATTTGTTGTTGTTGTTATTGTTGATGTTGAGGGGATTGACGAACAACAAAAATTTTCTTCTATTGGGACAAATGTTTTTGAGGTTGAGGGTTGTTGGAGGGAAGTCTGTTGAAGAAGATTGGACATTTCCTCGTCTGATACCCTCTGCACAAAATTTGAAGGGACTAGACCGGCACGATTATCCAATGTTTCTCCCCAATAGAAACAGTCCTCGTCCATCGGGCCGTGCACCAAAACTAATTCTCCAGGTTGTAATGCCAACTGATAAAATGATTTTAAAAAATTATTTTTATCACTTAAAGTATTAGATGTGCGCCAAAAAATATTTTTTTCAAAACGCAAACTTGGCGTTTTGGTAAAAAAATATTTTTGGCGCACATGTCAAAAATTAAATAATCTAGCACAAAACCTCAACATGTGGATTCTCGTTTGGTGAATCTCGAATTGGCAAATATTGGAATGCAGCGCGGAATAGACTGAAAAAATTTAAAAATTAAAGTTCAGACAATATTTGAGTTTTAAACCAAAATAAAAATATTTTCCCCCAGAGGGGTTCGAACCCAGACCCCCCCCCCCGGCCACTGGAAACCCCAAAACTATCCGACTACACCAAACGAACATTTTGGCGTTTTTAACCTCCTAAAATCAATTTTGCGCACACCCATTACTGTATATATTAATTTACAACCACACAAAATTTATTTTGAGTTATTTAAACAATAAAAAAGCGTTAAAGCTATCACCCCCGCCAAACATTTCTTTTCCCTTTTTTCCCCAAATTGCATTGGCTAGAGTCATTTTCTCATTTTTATCCTCATATCCCCAAGGGAGTTTTAACCAAAATAGATACCAAAAAAAAAGTTTTTTTCTATTGTGTTAGTTTAGGGTAAAAAAAGGAGGGATTGAATTGCAAAAAAAAGGAAAAAAGAGTGAAGACAAGGAAGCTTTTTAATATACCCATCACCCAAAGTTTTTTAGCCCCCTAATTCTTTGCTATCCTAATTGACTTTGGCACACAAAAATATTTTTTGCTGCAAATTGGAAAAATAATTTGGTAAATTTTTTATTGGAAAAATAGTAAATTTTGCAGACACAGGATCCGGCCCAGGTTAATAAATCAAACCCAGAGTCCAAGAACATGCCCAGCCTTTATTTCGATCTCTAATCAATGCCATCTATTTAATAAACCCCCATAATAAGATAACATTTTCAGCCCCAAGGATCTATCTTACAATAGGTTCTATTGTAGTTCACTCAACTAAAAATCAAGAAAATTACCTGGAATTAGGCCTTGTATTGAGCAAAGTTTTAAGCAAGGCAGAAGATAAATGCTGATGATCCCCCGCATTAGGGCCACCACGCATTACCGTTTAAAAACTATTTAAGTCTAGGTAGTTTAAATTAGCCACCTAAGCGGCTATTTGGCCGCCATTGGGCGGCCAAATAATAAAAAAAACAATTTTGCCTTTAGACTTGTAATGATGGGCAGAAAGGGAAGAGGGATAATAAAAGATTAATATATAAATAATTCTGACGTAAAAATACAACAAAAATTGTGTTTTCCCAAAAATGGACTAAAAAAATTAATAAAAAATATAAAACAGCACAAGATCGATCCACATATTAAGCGAACGTTTGTGTTGCGGAAAAGCGTTAAAAGTCTCCTAGGCATTTGTAGTAAAAAAATATATATAAAAATGCCGAGAGGTGGTGAAGTAATGGCATAAAACTGTGCTGAGAGTGGTGGTTGGCAGCAAAAATAGAGAGAAAAAGAGCAGAAGGAAAATAACGAAAAATGACGCGGCGGTACTTTGCTTTGACTCATATCGGCATAAAAAAACTATAGAGGAAAAGCAAGACATCTAGCTAGATGAAGAATGTCCAGATGCAAGAAAATGCTCAAAATGTCCAGTTAAGGTATTGCTCGAAATGTCCAATTGAGGAAAGAATGACAAAACGTCCAAACAGGAAGATTTAAAAGTCTTACAGGAAGAGGGTCTCAAAATGGTCAACCATAGAAAAATGGCCAATATGTCTAATCTAAGTAAAAGACAAAATGCCCATCTGTCGAAAATAGGACAAATTGTCCCTTTAGGCCATATGGGTATTTTCTACTTATGGCAATCCAGTTATTGGCATATACAGCGTGTTAAGGGCACAGAGAGTTGGCACACTTATTAGCGTTAAAGCAAAAAAAGCCAGAGAGGGGGAATCCGAGTAATGAGCGTTGTTGTTGTTGTGGATTGAGTAGAAGAAACATAAAAGGGCGGCAGCGCCAAAATCGACGGTTTCTTTTGGGTTCTGCAGACAATCAGGGAACGGTGCTAAAAAATGTATGTATTGAAAGGGAAATTGGGGGGCGTTAAAGGCAGCTGAAAATGACAAAAATGTTTTGAATGGCTGCAATATTGCCATGGTAAATGTTAATAAAATAAACATAAAAATATTGAGTAAAAACGTTTTAAAAATATTTAGAAACATGGAAATAAAAATCTGAGATAGCTAAAAATAGTGGAATAAGTCGAAATTTGTTTAATATTTGAGTTTTAAAGCAAAATAAAAATGTTTTCCCTCAGTGGGGTTCGAACCTTGACCCTTTCGCAGTGGAAAACCAGGAGCGTTCCAACTACACCAAAAAGACAAAAAACCGGAAATCGTTGAAAAATTTATTTTGTTTATACAAAAATAAGTTTCTGGCAGAGTTAAACATTTTCCTTTGAGATAAATTTGTAAATTGACTATAAAAAATATTGTAAAAATTGTTATAAAATGCGTTAAAATTTTTGTAGATTTTTGGCATAAATTTTTGTATTTTTTAAAGTGACAAAATTCTTTTTTTATTTTTATTCTTTATTTTCTCTTCATCCTTTTCCCTCTTTAGTATCTAGAACCTCCATCATCGTAGTATCGTCTATGAGGGCTTCTTCCTTGTCTAGCAGCGTAGTCTTCCGCCTCAGTTTGGAGAGGGATACGTCTGCCAGAGTTTGGGGAGTATGTGTAGCTGCCACCTTCTGGGCCGTAGTATGCTCCGCCATAGGGCTAAAATTTTGAAATTTATATAGAAAAAGAATAAGGGAGAAATGCTTGATATTCCAAGTTTTTTCCAGTTCGGGGTCGAATTGGAAAAAACAATAGTTTTAGTTCAGTAGGAGAATCCCACCCACCCCCTCCTTTGGTCCCTAATCGGGATCGACATTTCCCCATATCAGACAGAGTCTGACTTGGAAATTGCCCCATAACTACTCTTCCATTTCGCCAATCTCCTAAATTTATTTCATTTGGTCGAACAGGAAATTTAAAGAGAATATTGAAAGAAAATTTTTTGGGGTTTTTAATAGATTTGTATAAATTAGTAATCTTTAAAGAAATTAAAAAAATTGGCCAGAAAAGTGTAGAGTTGCGACGCAACGGAATTTTTGAGAGTCTAAAGAAAAAGAGGGGGAATAACCCCTTTTCTCTCCCAAAAAATCTGCAGCGCCGCAATTCTCGACACACAAAAGCAATTAATTGATAAATAGAAATCACTAGAAATTACTAAAATGTGTAATACGTTTTTGAAAGAAAAATTGACAAAAATAAGGGAGGGCGTGTGCAAGGAGAGGATCAATCTTCTTTTTCTCTTTCTGTGCCTGCTGGTGCTGACCGGCCTTTTTAAGAATGCGCGTCATTGGTTTTGCGGGAATTGAAGAGGGGAAGAAGAAGAGAGAAAAAAGGATAGGAAAGGGTTGATCGGCAATATACTGATTGCGGTAAAAAAGAGAAAGGATTTAATCAGCAATTATTAAGGGAGAGAGAAGGAATGAAGAAAAAAGTTGCGCATTTCCCTTAATTTTCCTATAAATTGGGTTTAAAAATTGTAAAAATATTTTTAGAATCAATAAGAATTGGTTTTTATATTAAAAAACAATTTTTCGATAAAATAAAAATGTTTCCCATCATTGGGATTCGAACCCACGACCCCCTCACAGTGAAAACACAAACACTTCGGACTTAACCAAAGAGCCGTTATTTTGTTAAATTATTATTCCGAGGGTATCAATAAGACTTGCTTTTTATATTAAAAAACAATTTTTCGATAAAATAAAAAATGTTTCCCATCATTGGGATTCGAACCCACGACCCCCTCACAGTGAAAACCCAAACACTTCCGACTTAACCAAAAAGCAGATATTTTGTTAAATTAGTATTCTGAGGGTACAAGTGTGCGCCATAAAATTTTATAACGCCAAAACGAAAATTTTCATTTTGGCTTAATTTTGGCGTTCATTTTTGACGCACATCAAAACCAGGATTACTTAAAGATGTGCTAATTTAAAAAATATTTTCAAAATTAATTTCAGAACGCCAAAAAATATAAAAATAAATTTATTTTTAATTTGCGTAAAAAATAATAACGCTAAAGGCTATTTTATAAAATAATATATAAAATACTAAAATGCGGTTAAATATTGAAGGGCAATGCGCGAGAAGAGAAGAAAGACACAAGTGTTTATTAAAAAGTAAAGGAATTTTTGCTCGATGAAAAGGGGGGACTTGCATGGAATTTTATTTCGGCGTTTATATTGCTTGTCAAAACTGCTCATAAAGTCCATCGATCAAAATTAGGCAGAGAAATCTTTCAGAAAAATTTTTTCTTCTTTTTTTCAGTTTATTTATGTACTCTACTGTTTAGATAAACCTTGGGAAACGTCATTACTTTTAGCAGAAAATTATCGTAAGTCCAGTTTAATAAGTCTAATGTAAAGAGTGGAGCTTTATTTTATAAGACTAGGACCCACATTTAGCAGGGTGGGTAGGTTCCAATAGAAAGAGAAGTACTATCTAATAGTAGCCTATCTTTAGGGGGGCTAGAGATGGGCCACTATTAGAGAGGATAGACTTAACTTGGAAGGTGTGAAGAGGGTCTATTGAAAAGAGGATTACTATTAGAGTGAATGGGCTACTATTGGAAAATTTAAGAAATATATCAAAGATCTACCTGATGTCCAGGAGGGTAAGGATGCCTAGAATCATATTGGTGATGAACTACAACATGGTGTTGACGCATTCTTAAGAATTTGGCCAAAACGAGGATCCAAAGGGAGATCTGGTTTAAAAATATTTTTAGATGGCAATAGCCAGATATTTAATTATCACGCAAAGCCACGCAATTACACGGGGAACGAATTTGGGCTGTGCACAAAAGTTTTCAGATGGACACCAGAACACAATATAACATTTTCCAAACTTTTTTCAAAAGAAACTGAGCCCACATTCGGTGCAGGGCTGAGCGTCAATGCGTTTGCGTCTGATTTTGGCAGATTTTGGCGTTTTGCGTGTTTTAAAAATTTGAAAAATTGGCGTTTGGCGTTCCAGGGAAAACTTTGGCGCACAGCCCTAATTCGGCAAATTTTCGGATATCTAGAACTGAACCAGTGTTCGGCACGATTCGGTACTATCGAAACGAATAGGTGCTTTTGGTACTTCTGGTATTGGGCTGACGAACCGAAGAGTAGAACTCAACTAATATCCAAACCGAAATAGTTCTCGGATCTTCAGTTCGGTGTTTGCGTGTTTTTGTGTGAAAATCAAAAATTAAAAAAAACATGAAGAAACTGAAGTCCCAAAAAGAAAATTCCTGTAGCAATTCTAGCCAACTGTCCATGATTTAAAATTAAAATTAATATGGTAGAGACTAATCCACGTATTATATCCAAAGGCATTATTATTAACCAAGGAAGTAATAACCAAGAAAAATGGAGACAAATTCCTATTAATACTAGCAAGCTTGCAACAATCATTGGAATATAGACACATAGGGCTATTAGTAGGGCTAAGGTGCGTCCTGAAAAATAAAAATAGAAATAAATAGTTTAATACAGGGTTTCGATATCTGCGGATTTTTCCTCATTTTGTGGTTTTTTGATAGGGCGATGAGGATTATTTTTTAAAATGCGGATTTGCGGATTTTTGTGGTCTTTTTAAGATTATGAAGATTTTTTATATTTTCTTGTGGTTTTTAGCAAAAATGTTATTATTTTTCGCTAGGATCATCTAAAATCCTCAAAATTTTCGCCTGCGGCGCTGAAAATGGAAGAAATCTGGCTTCTTGGCCTTCCAAAATTCTCAAAATTTTCGCCTGCGGCGCAAAAAAGGAGGAATCTGTGTCCGTGATCTTCCAAAATCCGCAAAATTTTTTGCCCGAACTGAAAATGAACGATTTTTGGCTTAAGGATCTTCCAAAATTAAAAAAATTTTCGCCTGCGGCGCTGAAATATTAATAATAAAAATTTTCGGCATCTTCAGCGACAAAAATTCAAGTAATTTTTCAGATAATTGTTCTGATTTTCATAAGCTGATTATTAGTAATAAAAAAATTGCTTAATTCAATTGTAGAAGACAAAAAATACAATGTATAAAGTGATTTTAATTCAATTTTTGTGTTTGATAATTTTTTGCGGATTTTTGATATAAAATGCGGATTTTTTCGATCAATTTTGCGGATTTATAAAAATTCGAGATCGAAACCCTGGTTTAATACGACATTTTTTAACCTGGGATACACCCAAGTAGGCGCGCGACCATAACGGCGCAAAGCTATAACTTGCTGGAAAATTTCTGGGCCTTATCAATTCTGGTACCAATCTCTTTAGCTCGTTGAGAGGAATCGTTTAATACTAAATTTGGTAAGATTCGGAAATCTTGAAGCAAGTGATGGCTCTGCGCTGTTATGGCCGCGCGCCTACTTGGGCTGTACCATTATAACCTAACTATTCCCTAACTGGTATTTTTTCAAGTTAATTTTGGAGGATACTAGGGATGTCAATATGAACTTTCATAAAAAATTCCATTTTTAAAATTAACAATATAAAAGGCTTTTGTTAATAAATTAGTCACACATTCAGAAACTTGGCTCTTAATGTTTTCCTTTTCCTTAAACAATGAAAAATAGCCAAACCAGTTTTTTGTTTTCTGTTAATTTATGGCAACAATAGCTTTTCACCTTTTTTTTATTTGTTTTATCTAATGAGTTTTTCGGAAATGAAAAATCGAATTTTTATTTTTGGCGTTTAACGCCACACAGGTTTTTGGCGCACACCCGTGACTTGGGAAAATTAACTAATTTGTTTAATAGATAGTACGTCGGACTTCATTATAAAATACTCCTTGAGGATGAAAAAATCGTGTACCTTATAATGAGTGGTATCTTAAATAGAGGGTATCTTATTTAAAAACAATTTTTTGATAAAATAAAAATGTTTTCCACCATTGGGATTCGAACCCACGACCTTCTGACAGTGAAAATTCAAACACATCCGACTTAACCAAAGAGAAACTACTGGTTAAATAAATTTAAAAAATCTAGCATAAATTTAGGTTATCTCTGGGTGTATTTAAAAACGAGATTCGACTGTCATTAATTTAAAAATTCCAAAAAATTCCTCTCACCTCCAGCAGCATATTTCATTTCCTCGGTATACATTCCCAAAGAACAATGATAATTTGAACTGTCCAAAACCTCAATAAAAGACCCATTCCCAAAAGGGACTTTAATATGTTGATTGATTTTGTCTTGAGCTTCTAATTGACAATTTTGATAAATTGGAACGTCTCCATTAGTTGCTGTCTCTTGCAATGCCCAAGCGGCTAATATAGCTAGTAAGGCGTAGAGTATCTTTAAAATTATTAATGAATTTGGGCGAGGATTTTTTGTCTGTTAGGGTCTGTCAGCCTTTTTTCGATTAGGCATCGTAGGATTTTTTGGGTTAGTTTTTGGACACTCGATTTTGGACCATTCGTTAGCTTGGAAAGTTTGAAATTTAACTGACCATCCAAAAATCATATGAGCTAACGGGTGATCCCAGACCCAATGGTCGGGTCATAACCCAGAAAATTGACCACCCCCCCCCCCCCTCAACGTTGATTACCAAATTTCAACTTAGCGTTTATGGGACATACCTTTTTTATTTTTTGTTAATTAAAAAATGAAAATTTTTTAAAAAATTTCGAAAAAATATTAATTTCAAAAAATGTTAATAAATCCCAACCAATGTATAAAGTCCAATCAAAAAAGCCCCAGGCGTCAATCCACAACAGCAACAATGCCGAACGTGAACCTCACATTTTGGAGCAGGCATTCTCCAAAAAAAATTCTTTTTTGGATTTTTTTTCACCAAAAAATTGATTTCAGAGAAGAAGAGTTATAGTGGCAACAAAACAAAAACAACCAGTCACAACAACCAGTCAACAACTAAATGGAGAGGAGAGAAGTAAAGCGCGAAAAAAGAAGAAAAATGTGTGAAAAAGAACGAATGTCTATGTATTGAGAGAAAAAGTTAAAGAGAACGGCGAGTTGTTGTGACAACAACACAACCTGACGATTCTTTTCTGAGCAGATATGTGCGCAATTAAATTTTGAAAAAATTGGAATAGAAAAATTGAAACGCCAAAAATAGCGCACAACCGCAGACAGTTAACGGCAATAAGTGATGTGCACAAGAAGGTTAAACGCCAAAATTAAACATTTTAGATGTCGAAGCGGGAAGGTATGAAATATCGAAATTGTTGAAATTACATATAAGGAAGTGTTGTTTAAATTGGGGTGATGCGACTTTTGCGGCGCGTACACTTGCGGCTCAGACATTTGCGGCCCAGACACTTGCGGCTCGCCCCTATTTTGACACTTGCGGTCCCGACACTTGCGGCTAAGAAATTTTCGGCGCAGACATTTGCGGCTATCAACTTGAGGCCCAGACACTTGCGGCCCAGACTATTGCGGTTTTGACATTTGCGGCCCCGAAATTTGCGGCCATGATGATGAGGGGGTTGAGTAATTAAGATTAATCCATCTAAGTCCCGTGATATTTCCTTCCCCCCCCCCTTCACCAATCCTTTTAATTTCTCTTAATTCACATAAATTCCGCGATATCTTCTCCAAATCCTTCTATTCTCTTTATTTATTGATCCTTAAAATGCCCATTATTAAAATTGTACTGATTTTTAATAAATATTTAAAAATTAGCATGGAAAAATAGTGGTAAAATTTAAAAAATTACTTTAAAAATTAATTAAGATTACTTTTTCATTAAAAAATTTACTTAATTTTTTAATCATGGCCGCAAATTTCGGGGCCGCAAATGTCAAAACCGCAATAGTCTGGGCCGCAAGTGTCTGGGCCTCAAGTTGATAGCCGCAAATGTCTGCGCCGAAAATTTCTTAGCCGCAAGTGTCGGGAACGCAAGTGTCAAAATAGGGGCGAGCCGCAAGTGTCTGGGCCGCAAATGTCTGAGCCGCAAGTGTACGCGCCGCAAAAGTCGGCTAATCTAAATTGGTAGTACCCTTACAATGCGTGGTGTGATCCCATTCATTGTGGGGCCACCCCCTCCCCTCTTGTATCTTAATTTGGTACTCTGAGACTCAAAATAGGGGGGTGTATATCCATAAAGTACCCTTAATTTAGGTGTGTCTTTGTTTTCTACTCTGGGGGTCCTCTTGTACCAAAAGAAATAGAAAAAACGCCAAAAAAATTAGAACGCTAAAAAAATCAGAAAACGCCAATTTCCCTTGCGCACACCCTTACAGCCTATTGCCCAACAATTAGCGTTATGCTGAAGGAATACCACCAAATTTTCGGAAAACAATCATTACCACACACACAAAAATTGTTTTTGATATACTTCTCTCTTTAATAAAGTGTTAATGATTGTGTTTAATCAAGAGAGAAAATTTTATGGAGAGCGGAAATATTTAAAAATAATTTCTAAAAAAAAATTTAAAAAGGACCTAGACCCAATTTTAATAAAAAAAATTAATTTGCTCTCGTCTTATTTTTCAAGTGGAAAAATAATTAATTTAATAAAAAAAAGGAAAAATTATCTGAACTAGAATGGAATTTATTGAAAATTAATTGGGAGAAATGAGGGGAAAATTGGGGGAAATTTCTTATAAAAATGTTACTTAAAATAATTTTATTTTAATTTTTAGTCTTAAAATAATTGATTTAATTTTAAAAAATTATCTAAATAAAAATAATTAAATTTCGAAAACCCTTAAAAAATGGAAAGGAAAGGCCGAAAAAGGAACAAAAAAATTTTTCTCAGAAAAGAAGTGTGGAAATAAGCAATGAAATACGAGACTTGATATAGAGATAAGACGATGTGATCCACGCTGATACATGTGATCACGATGTTCATGCTGCGAAAAATTCACTGGATGTGAGATGGAATAGAACCATCATGGAAAGGGCCCAAACAGAAGCCCAACTGACTGTGTTTCCATCCAACCCGATAGTACTTGGTTATTTATTTTTCCTTTCTATTCTTACTGCCAGTGCAAACACAACAGGCTATATATCAAGGATCCTGCCTAACGAAACCCCCTATTCTCGGTTTTTATGAATCTGGACCCAAGTCGAAAACTACGTGAACTCTAATAAGTTGATTCTTGGGTAGACAAAATGATTAATTTAATAAACGGCCCTCTTTAGAGCCACAAAATTATTAAGAGAGATGAAGACACTATTTCTTGATAAAAGGTTGATCAAGGCACACAAACTTAGCATTCTTATTTTATTGACGTTCAATCTCCTATTCTTGGTTTTCGGGAATCTGGACCAACACTCGAAATCTAATGAACTCAATGAGTCTTTTTTCTAATACTTATTTATTCAGATGACTATTGAGTCACACGTCCAACTTTTGTATGAAAACATTTTTTATTGATTTCGAATTTTTAAAAATAAATTCAACATCTTACCAAAATTTTAATTATTCCTCTTTTAGACATTTTGAAATTTTTAATTCGCTAAAACCTTTTGAATTAAATTTGAATAAAACAATTTTGGCATAATGTCTATTAATTTTATAGATAATGTAAAAGACATAGAAAGGAAATTGACGGTTTTTGCCTTCGTTTTTTTAAATTTTAGTTTGTATTATTTTTTCATTTTTTTTAAATTTTTCTTGTTTTTTTAGAAATTTAAAAATAATTAAATTATGATATTGTCTGCGTCATCATTCTACTAATGCCTACAATAATTTGAGATGGAAAAGTGGATTTCCTCATTTAATGGTGACAAATTCTGGTTCCTAAATGAGTAACTGTTTCGAGTAGTTTAGAGGTTTTCTTTTTAATTCTTAGGGTTTTAAATACTGTTTTGTAATGTTTTTGCCTCCCCTCAGAAATGTATCAGGGATGGGTTACCCGAAACTAGATCTTTTTTTAGACTCGGAAAAAATTATGAAAACTTGATCTAGAACTCGAGTTCTTCAAGAAGTTCGAAATCTGTCTTTTTGGCCTCCAAAATTTTACCGAGGCGCTAAAAAAGGAAAAACCTTGCTTTCTAAGAACATGGAACCTACCCGAATTTTTTTAGCCCGACCCATCCCCTGTGCATTTCTGGTAGCGCAATGATTTTAGCCCACGTTTTGGCGTGTAATGAGTTGGCGCTGGTAACGTTCGATACTAAATTTGTTAGGTACTTATTGGGGTAGTCAATTTAATTTTTCTGAATATGATGAGAAGGGCATTCTTTCCCCCATTACACAATAATGTAAACAGACAGGATTAATTTTCAGATTAGGTTATAAAGACGTTTATGTCTTAAGGCAACATTTTATATGAATGTGTAGCTGTACGAGAAAATACCCTTCTCTACATAAGCTCTTCACTATGATTTTTCCCACTTTTTGTCAAATACGGATTTTTTTTGAAACGGTGGTATAAAAAGTTATCTGGGAAAAACGTTCGTGGGATATTCAAACGTCTGTAAACGTTATCAGCGCTTTAACTCGATCACGCCAAAGCATTTCCGCGACAATCCGTGCACTCAGAACAATACTAGTCCATATTTCTTGATTTAAATAGTCTCAATTAATTCCTTGTTCGTTGCATTCTAAAAATTGCCTGACTGCCAAAATTGCCGGGTTAGAGCCTTCGGTGTTCGGGTCGGGGTTTTCCCAAAAAATCGTCGGGGTTGGACGAGGTCTCTTAGAATAAACAGAAAAAAATCTTAGAAATGAAACAGACGGGGTGATACCCTAGTTTTTGGAAACAAAAACCCCTATTTTTAATCGTTGCGATAAAGTTGGTCGAAAAGAAAAACCCGCGACAAAGTGTCCTGTCCTAACCTGAAAATGAAATAGTATGGAGATTAGAGAAGGAGAGAAAAACTATTCTTTTGTTTAAATTCAAAAATGGCTTCTTTTTTTAGTTGATGTTTTCGATTATCTCTGTTTCCCTTCTAAGATTTTTAAATTTTTT